CGACAGCAACTTGTCTGTTCCCCTTCCCTGATTCCTCAATGCTGTTCCCCTCCCCCAATTCCCCAATAAAATCCTGAAAAAAATAGTATTTAAATAATAGTATAATTAATACTTTAATGTGTATTTTTTATATGTTAGCAATATATAATACTATAATTTAAATAATCAATATTGGTTACATGTTGAAATAATAATATTTGTGATATATTGGGTTAACTAAAATTTTTTTTTAAAGATTTTATTGGGGAATTGGGGGGATGGCAACAGCACTGGGGAATCCGGGGAAGGGGAACAGACAAGTTGCTGTTGTTTTGTTCTTCAGTCTAGCTGTGGAGGACGTCGCTTCACTGGCCCAAGTTGGCACCATCATTGCGCTCTTCCCGGGCGAGGCAGATCAGTCTCCAGCTTCTAAATGGCCGCTCACTGCGGCTGCTGGCCACTCACGCTGGCTGCTGACTACACACCGTAGCCCATGGCAACCCACTGCCACAGGGGCTGCAGCCTACACCCTCGCCGGCGACTCATGGCAGCCCAGCTCCAGGTTGAGCTGTTGTTCAGCATCTTAGCTGTAGAGGGCAGTGTCACTGGCCCTCATATGTGGGATCCGAACCGGGGCCCTCTGGCGTCCCAAGCCAGTTCTTAACCATCGCGCCACTCGGCCAGCCCGGGTTAACTAAAATTTATGATTAGAGTTAATCTCACCTGCTTTTTACTTTTTTTGGAAACCTTTAGATGACATATGTGAGTCACATTCTGTTTCTGTTGGGTAGTGCTGGTCTAGAAGGTTTGCAGACATGTAACTGGTTAATTATCACACAATAGTGGGAATGCTGTAATCTTCCAGATCCCCCTAGAGCTGACGTCTGACACGGAGAGGTCTCCCCAAAGGCAGGATGGACAGTCAGCGAAGGCTCCAGCTATGTGGGGAGGCTCGAGGCCGTACATGAAGTTGGGGACAGGAGGCTGGAGTTGGAAACCTAGGGGACATATTGGAATGAAATGGTCGTTTGGGGGGTGTATAAGTTAGCTTTTGCTGTATAACAAACAATCACGGAATTGGAGAGACATGAAACAATAGTTCTTCCCTCAGAGCTCTGCACATGGGCTAGGATCCAGCGGCTCTAGGCTGGGCTTGGCTTCTCCCTAGGATTTGGCCCAGGTGTGTGCCCACAGCATTCATTCCAGGGCCCAGACATACGGGACAGCAATGATGTGGGAGAAGCTGTCACATGATGGTGTAGGTTCAAGAGGCAAATCTCAGTGTGAAAGCGCTTTTCAACCCTCAGCTGTCTCATCTACGAACATCACATGAGCCACAGCAAGTCACAATGGCTAAGACCCGATTCAGTAGCAAGAAGGCACACACTCTGCTCTTGTGTGCCATGGGCCAAAGCGAGTCACATGACCAAGCCAAGCGCTATGCATGCCCTGCAGCTCTCTCCTTTCCCTCACCTGCCGCTGAATACAGATGGGATAGTGGGGGACCCTGAGCCAGAGGGAAGACGCCCGAATGACTGCATGGAGCAGAGTGCCCCCAAACTCATGTTGGGCTGCGTAGTGTGTACAAATAAACTAGTGTGGGAAGCCTCTGAGATTTGGGAGTTGATAACAACGGTTGACTCTGCTGAACAATCGCGTCCGTGCTGCCAGGGCAGAGTCCTCTGCAGACAACTGCACCATGTTAGACAAGGTCTTTGCGGGAGAAGAATGGGGATAGGTGCAGGCCTGGCCAGGGAGAGGCTCACGTGCCTCAAACCCCCTGCCCCCGCCCCACTGGGATCAGGTGAGATGGCCTGATAAGGTTAGGTGCCAAGGGACTGGCCAGGGCAGGACATTTCCTAGGGAGGTACAGAGTAGAAAGACTGAAGGGGCAGGACCGGAAGATAGGGAATCCCAGCATGAAGTCTTTAGATGGGGTCTAGAGTCCTCAAAAGCCACAGGAGCAGTTGTGAGAGCAGAGGCAAGAGACAGAGGCCAAGGTCACCCTCTCAGCATGGACTGGGAAGGTGAGAAGGTGTCTGGGCTGAATTGGGAAACCGACTCCATGGGATGTCCTGCGTGCTGCTGGTGAGGGTGGGTGTGAGGTGACAGGGTGTGCCAGGCTGTCCTAACAATACAGGCTGGAAACCACGAGAAGCCTTTCCGAAGGCAGCTGTTGTCGTTTGTTCATTCGCTCATTCATTTATTCATTCTACACACATTTCCTCAACACTTACTGTGAGCCCAGCCCTGAGCCAGGGGGAAGGTCAAACACACAGGGACCCTGGCTTTGGAGGTGTTCCCTAACCAGAGTCGGGGCTCACAGGCCAACGGAGCTATTTTAACGTGGAGCATGCGCAGTGCTCTGACAGAGGAGGAGGCGGGAGGAGAGGAGGGGCCCGGATGGCATCTTTCCCGAGGCAGGTGGTTCTGATCACAGGGGGCAACCCTAAAGTGGACCCCTCCCTCACCCCCAGCATGACTCATTGGGCGCTCACGGGCCATAGCACTGTGCTTTAGTCATTTACTAGTGAAAGCCTCCATTGTCCCTCCTCCTTGGGGAAGGACAATGTCCTGATCTGGTCCCTTTGTGCTCAGGGGCCAGCAGGCTCTTGGTGGATGTTAAATGCAATAATACCCCCTTATTTTAGCAGCCTCTGCTTTGGTGCCCACTGGTAGCTACAGGAGACACACACACACACACACACACACACACGCAGCCCATGGGGTCTGGCAGATGCAATTAGCCTCTGGGTCCCTCAGAATTAGATGCAGGTGGCTAATTGTCCATGCCAGGAGGCAACTGTGGGCACAATTAGTCATGTCTCTTTCCCCACTCGGGGCTAATAATGGGTGGGGAATCTGAGAGGGGAGGGAGAAAATGTGACGGGGCTCCGAGGCTCCCTTAGCCCTGGGCTGTGACAGGCAGCTTTGGGTGGCAGTGCTCATTCTTTGGGCCTGGGGAGGGCTCAGGGGGCAGGCGAGGGGGAGGGTGGCAGCTCTTCTGAGGATGGGGGCCCTGCTGGCTCCTCAGCTCCCCTCCCCCGCCCCATCAGCACACTGGAGCCTGGACCTCCCAATCTGTTAATGATGCCAACCCCTTGCTTTTGTGTAGCTTGGTAGGGTTTTTAAGCCCCTTCGCATTGTACACATTATTGCATGCCACCGCCACACACCTGGGAGCGGTGTGCTTATTACATCCCATTACAGGTGAGGACAGGGAAAGCCACCTGGTAACTGGCAGAGCCCATGGCAGAGCCCAGGCCTGGGGTGCTGAGCTCGTGTGCCGCCTTTTACTTCATCATGCTGCCTTTTGTCCTCTGATCCTTCCTTTCCTATGGGGCCACAGGGGTGGCTCCCCAGGGACCAGAGAGTTGCTTAGGACAAGAGAAAATTCCTGGTGTAGCATTTGCCTCAGTACATTTAAACAATGTTCGTTTAAGCCTTGGATGTCTTCTCTGTCCAGGAACTGTTCAAGTAGCTGGGGATACAGAGATGGAGCAGGCACAGTCCTGCTTCTAAGCTTCCGGTCCAGCAGAGAGAGTGAGACGTGTGCATAACATCCATCATGGAGCGAGAATGTGCCTGGGCTCTGAGTGCCTCCCTAGTTAGTCCCCCAACCTGCAGAGTGACTTTGGTCGCTTCTTCTTGCTACTCTGGGCCTCAGTTTCCTGAGCTGCCAAAGTAGGATGTTGAACCTCAGGGATGTCTCAGGCTCTGTCCAGTTCTTCCAACTGATTTCCGTCAGTGCAGTGGAATCAGGAAGGAAGCGATGGCTCCTGACTGGGGAGGAGCCATTGGGGGAGCGCATGTTGGGGGAGGGCGCATTAAGAGTGCATTTGATGTGGGCTTCGCAGGTAGGATTTCAACAGGGCAGAGGGCATCAAGAGGGCATCCTAATCCAGGCCCTGCTCAAACTCGCTTGGGTTGCAAGTAGTGGAACCCCAACTCTTAAGGGCATCAAAGGGAATATATAGTATGTGGGGGTAGCTAGTCTCTAAAAATGGCCTCCCAACAAAGCATGCCTCTTGGTATTCAGGCCTTGTATCGGTTCTTCCTCTTGGATCTGGGTTGTCTCCAACACTCGCTTGTAACTAATGCAAGTGGCAGAAATGACTCTGCCTGGCTTTGGAGGCAGAAGGGTTGCAGCTTCCATCTTGTTCCCTTGGAACATTCACTGTAAGGAATGCCAGACAGTGTGTAAGAAGCCCACCTGGGTGAGACCTCCATGCTCACTATGGCGGAAGTCCAAGCTGGCCACGTGGAGAGAGGTGCCTGGCGACCCTAGCTGGCCCAGCTACACCGCTCTGGCCAGTAGACATGTTCATAAAGACTCCACCTTGCACATCAAACTTGGTTGGCATCTCAATACAGCAACGTGAAAGACCCCAAGTGAGAACCACCTAGCTGAGCCCATCAACCCACAGAACCATGAAGATAATAATAAATTACTGTTTTAAGGTACTACATTTTGAGATGGTTTGTGAGGCAGCAATAAATAACTAGAATACATATATAAATGCTAAACTCCAGGAAGGTCAAATAATATTGCTGGGTCTCGTTTTTCTCTTTCTCACATCTTCCTGTCTTCTGTGCTGGCTTCTTTCTTCAACCACCTCTCTCCACGGATAGTCCCCAGAACTGCCAGACTTGTATCACCCCTGCTTCCAGCAATACCAGTGGACAGCCCTGCTCTCTCTCAGCAGTTAGAACAGAATTCCTGGAAATGCATTTCATTGGCCTAGTAACATGATCTTCCTTGAACCTTTCTTGATGTGGCTAGAGGGGAGGGGTTTGGAGGAAACATGCTCCACCTCTAGAAACAGGAGTAGGTGAGCTGAAAGGGTGTGCCTCACCCTGCCCAAGCTATTGTTTAAGCATGACACTTCCTGAAAGGCTATTTAAGGGATCTATTACCAAAGAAGGAAAAAGGACTGTGGATTGGCACAAACAGAAGTGCATTCCTATAACCTTGTGTGAGAAACATAACTTTCCTAAATCTTGGCTTCCTCTTATTTTAGAAAAAGATGAGGAAATAACTCTTGTGCTGCCAAACTGAGGTTCAGGTGTGAGGCCGTCAGAGCAGGAAGCCTGTGAAAACGGTCAACAGTACCTACGTGGCATAGGTGACCATCAGCACTAGTAGCAACGTGCCGAAGGATTAAAAGCTGCACGAAGCAGGGTAAGATGTGGCTCCCCCAAACCCAAATCCTGCCCATAGTGAGGAAGGAACCCAAATGCATGGTTTCCAGATCAGCATACAGAAGCGAGTGTCCGCACACGTCCTACACCGCAGGAGACCGCTAGCATGCCTTTCTTGGGTCACGCATCTCTGTGCACTCGCAGAGTTTGGGTCATCTAAGGATTCTCTGAAGTCAAGGTGTCACCTTGGAGCCAGGGGGAAGACAGGTACCTTTGCTGGAAGGAGAAGGCTTTCCCCTGAACCTGCGGAGGGATCAGAGACGCTGCACAGGAGGCTCCAGGCTAGGATTACCCATTTTACTCAAGTGCATATAGAGAAGGTTCTTGAATAACGTCATTTCGTTCTAATGTTGATGAGATGCTGTAGGAACTTAGCTCTTGTTTATGTCAATTAGCCTATGGGAGAATTGATTTTCTATCCATCGTTTAGCTTAAAGTTGTAGAGCCTATCGACAACGTTAAGTGAGGATTGTATATTGTTTTCTCTGTCACCATTAGTCTCAAAAGGCCCTGAATGTATCAAAGGAAAGGGACTTACTTTAGTCAAGGACAAAGAGCCAAGGCATAAGGCAATATAAAAAATGAAAAAGTCGCAATGCGAGAAGTCAGAAAACCATCACTCTTTCCACTACGAAAGCAATTCAGCTCTTGAGCGCCTAATTCTTAAAACCTGGTGTGCGTGACAATGGTATGCATGCATCCACCCACCTGGCCATCCTGCCATGGCTTTGTTCACGTAGTCAGCTATCCACCTTGTCGTCCCCATCCCAGCCTGAGTCGGAGAAAAGCTGCAGTGCTTACTAGAGACCTAGAGAGCAATTCTCAGAGCAGGGAAATGGTTAAAATAAATCAAAATAAAATCGGAGTTGGCTGTAGCGCTTATTCTTAATGACACACAGGAAACTATAAACCAGCCATGCTACATAATTGACCACTGAGGATTTTTCACTCTCAGTCAGTTTGAGATGTACCAAATCCAATATCATATCAGTGATTTGATTTGTTAATAATCAAATTGCAAATACCTTTTCATTTGGCTTCAAAAAGCAAACAGCCATTCGGAATAATTTTTATGGGTCTTGGAATGTAATATAAACTTAAAATATTGTGTTTGCAAGTCCTATTGGCATGACCGTATTATAATTTATATTGGCCTATTTTGATGTACAGTGGCATAATGAAACTTTAAAAAATATATTCTGCAAAGCTGCATCTAAGCCCAAGCCAGCAGCACAGATTAATGTAAGGACATCATGGGGATTCTTTGAATATTTTCTTAAGGAGATTTCTAGAAAATGGCTGTTCTACTCATCCAAACTTTTAACTTAAGCAGCGATGGCAAAATCTTTCAGTTTTGCCTCATGTCACCTTTCCAGGCCCACTGTCTGATGCTCCTCCCCCCTCCTCACTGTCCTCCCTTCCGCTCACCCTCACCCCTGCCATCTTATTTGTGGTTTTCTGAACATATCCTGTGTACATTTTGTCTTCAGCCCTCTGCCCCTCTGTCTGTAAAGCCCTTCCTCTCTTCTCTGCTTTGATAATATCTGTTAGACATTCTTCAGCTCCTGGCTAAAATGCCATCCCTGCTGACACCACCAGAAGTTCTTATCTCCATCTCCCACAGCAGTTCAAAGGGGACTCTATGATAGCACTTGTCACAGTGTGTTCTTATTTGTTTACATGCACTAGACTCTGAGTTCCTTGACAGCCTGACCGTGATATGTTCAACTCAAAAAGCCCCAGTGTCGACTACCATGCCTGGTGCATAATATGTGCTCAGTGAGTGTTTGTGCAATGATGCTGTGGATGGATGGATGGATGGAAGGATGGGTGGGTGGGTGGATGGGTGGATAGATTGAAGGAACAGATACTCCTAGAGGATGATACTTTCTCTGACATTGGAAGCTTTCAAGCACAGGTTGTAGAGAGTCTTCAGGACCAAGACAGGCCGTCAGACAAACTAATCTGTAATGTATTGTGCTATCACATTAGGACAGCTACGATGTCATTAGGCAATAGGAATTTTTCAGCTCCGTTATAATCTTAGAGGATCACCATCATATATGTGGTCTGTTATTGACTAAAACATCGTTATGTGGCGCATAACTTTATATATTCCAGCCACTTGAAATCTCTTACTATTTCTAATACTTTCTCAGTAGGAAAGCAGATAATTATATTGCCTGCACATAACAGAAATTTAAATTTCTTCCTTTTTAATATTTATTATTTTATTCTCACTTAACTGCTTTGGCTAGGACATCCAGCAAAATGTTGCATAATAAAGAAGAATCCTTTTCTTGTTCCCAACTTTAATGGAAATGCTTCTATGATTCATCATTAGAAATGATGTTTGTGGTGATTTCTGGTAACCATAATATTAGGGTACTAATTAGGGCATATAAGCTAGATGGTACAGCAAAGACACTCCAAAATACAATGGCTTAGATAAGATAGAAGCAAATTTCTCTGTTACATAAGAGTTCACAGTGATAGTCCAGGGTCTGTAGCCCAAGGCTGGCTCTGCCATTCTCTTCCAGTAACTTCCAAACTTGCTTCCAGTCTTGCCATTTTTCAGCCAGCTGGAAGGGGGAAAGAGAAGTCTAGGGAAAAATAGCTTCCTCTTTAGAGCAATACATAACTTGGCAATTATAGGTATCATTTCTGCTTATATCTCATTGGCTTGAACTTAATCACCTGATCACAACTGCAAGGAAGGCTGGGAAATGTAGTCTCTTTCTCAGTGGCCATATTGTCAGGAAAAAAACTGAGGGCTAGATATTATATAATTACAAAAAGGGGGAAAGAGAGAATAGATAATGGAGACTGGAACCATATTTGCATTTGTGGGATTTGACTCTACTCTGTCAAGGTGCATTATTCCCTTAACAGACTGTTGATCATGTCTTATTTAGGATTTGCTTCTATATTTATAAATGGTATTAACTTATAGTTTTTATGTGTGTACTGTTCTTGTTTTTAGTATCAGTCCCATGCCAACCTGAACTGGAAACTTTCTGTCTTTTTCCATGTTCTGTAACAGTTGATAAATTATGAAACTATTTTTTGAAGATTTGGGAGAATTTGTTCTTAAAACCATCTGGCATAGTGATTTTTTAGAGCTAGAGCTTTGGCTACAGTGGCAGAGACTGCTAATTGTCCTCAATATCTGTTCTCTCCTTTTTCTAGGGAAGGAGAACCTTTGATTTGTAGCTGGGCATTAGTGCCTGGAATGAAATAACTTTCACTAGCTTCTCCTGGCTAGATATGTGACCAAGTTCCGAAGTTCAGGTTGTGAAAAATCTCAGAATTCAGGTTGCAAAGGAAGTGATGTTTGTGTGCAGCTTCTGGAACATGCCTTTAAATGTGGGAATGTTCCCCTTTTTCCCTCAATGTGCTGCCCTAGAAGGGACACCCAGAGGTGAGTCAGCTGGCAGCGAGGTGGGATGGCAGATCAATAAAGTAGAAGGAGCCTGAGTCTTTAATGCTATGAGGCTGCCATGCCAGCTTCGAGACAGTTGTCCAAGTGGAACGTGACTTCTCTTTTGTTTAAGCCGCGTCTTGTGGGTTCTTGCTACAACCACGGATCCCGCATCTAATTAATATATGCTACATTTTCACTAGCTTCTCTTTTAAAAAGCTCTTCTATCTGTAGTTGTGCCCCTTTCTCATTCCTATTATACATTTGTTCTCTCCTCTTTCCCCTCTCTCCACTTTCTTGCCTCTGTTGCAAACACACTGGGCATGTTCTTTCCTCAGGGTATTCGTACTTGCTGTTCCCTCTGCCATGAATGACCTTCTCCGGGTATCTGCCCCACTATCCTATTTATAATTGCAAACCAACTCCAACCTAGGGCTCTGCATCTCTCTTCCATGCTTTGTTCCTCTCGACGACACTCATCGCCATCAGACATATTTAGATTTTACTTGTTTGTTTATTTATTATATTCCCACCTCCACCAGAATGTAAGCTCCACTAGGGTAGGGATCTTCATCAGTTTTGTTCACTTTCTTTTCCCAGTGCCTTGACCAACACCTGGCACACAGTGGGTGCTCCAGAAATTTTGAATGAGTTGGTTATAAAACATACTCGCCAAAAGTATGTGTATTTTATTTGTCTCTTAAAAGTGCAAGCTTTTGTTATTACTGATTGCCTGTTTTTTTATTTTCTATTTAATTAATTTCATGTTTATTAATTTATTCCTTTTATCATCTTTATCATTGTTCCTTCTACAACTTCAGTTTTCTGAGTAAAATGCTTAGCTCATTTATTTATTTATTTTTATTTATTTATTTTTTAAAAGATTTTATTGGGGAATCGGGGGAAGGAGAACAGACAAGTTACTGCTGTTTTTGTTCTTCAGTCTAGTTGTGGAGGATGTTGCTTCCCTGGCCCCAGTTGGCACCATCATTGCGCTCTTCCCGGGCGAGGCAGATCATTCGCCCGCTTCTGGACGGCCGCTCACGGTGGCTGCTGGCCACACACGGTAGCCCATGGCAACCCACTGCAGGGGCTGCAGCCTACGCCATCGCCGGTAACTCATGGCAGCCCAGCTCCAGATTGAGCTGTTGTTCAGCATCTTAGCTGTAGAGGGCAGTGTCACTGGCCCTCGTATGTGGGATCCGAACCGGGGCCCTCTGGCGTCCCAAGCCAGCTCTTAACCATCGTGCCACACGGCCGGCCCATAGCTCATTTATTTTTAATCTTCCTTATTTTCAAATAGAAGATTTAAGGCTATGGGTTTTCCTCTGAGTATTAATTTGGCTGCAATCTGTAGTTTTGTATATATCGTACTCTCATTTTTGCTCATTTCTAAATAGTTTTTAGTTTCAGTTTGCTTTTCTCTTTAACCCAGGAGTTATTTGGAATGGCATTTTAACATTTTGAGGCAGACAGACTTCATTTAACTGTCTTCATTGTTGTTAATGCCTAATTTTAGAGTATCATGCTCAGAGTCAATTATGGTTTAAATAATTTCT